AAATTCACCTAGATAGTTCCCGAAATAATAAATTTACCAAACAAATAGACCTACTATGTAAATCACTTGTATCGTAATTTTTTATCGCGCATTTATTCAATAAACGGGTTCTTGCTTCACCCTCCCTTTTGGGAAGAAAAAAAAAAAAAAAAAAAAAAAAATTCTTGAATCAGCTGAGCTAATTAACAAGAATGGAAAAAAATTATTAGCCATATGTAATTAGTCATATTACATTTTTGGCTATATTTTAGAAAAATTTTATGATGAAAAATATGTAAATAAATTTTTTATATAGAGAAATAAATTCCGAATCTTTATGTCATCAACTGTATATCCAAAATTGCATGTTTAATATTTTTTTGGCCATTCAGTCTGGGCTTGCTTAATAAAAACTCGAGCTATTTACGATTTTCAGTTTTTTTGGCACTGCATAAAATAAATGGTTTCCGATTCTTATATATAAACCATGGGCAAAAATAAAGTCGAAAATGCAATTTTTTTGAAAAAAATTTTTGCTTTTGAGCAAAAACAAGGGGTAAATTGCAATTTAGCCTTGATTTTACCCAAGGTGAAACTTACCTTATTCCTTTTCTATTTCAATTACAAATTGATTACAATATGCTTCGCCTTGAATAATAAGTAGCACATTCTTTCTCCATAAAATGAATCAAGTATTCGGAATCAAGTATTAATCTTGCAATTAATAATTATATGGAACTCTTGTAGTAACTTGCAATGCTAATTGCGTTAATTCCAATTCTCATTGTGAAACTGATTTTAAAATTTTTATTTTAATCCCAAAATTTATCACATCAAAATAGATAGATTGGAAATTTTATTATCTAAAATTTATCGTATCCCGAACTAGATATAAGAATTTATCGAATCCATGTTATGACATAATCTTAGTAACATAATTCCCTTTACCTCCTTTCAAACAATAATCTAAAGACTCACCTTTGACGTCAATAGTAACCGTAGTTACTGTCACAACATCTTTAGAATCCAACTAAAGAGACCCTTTTACATCGAATAAACTTCAGTCTAATCATCTTTGATACCCAATAGATGCTTATGATTTAGGACAATTGTGATCTGGGTGTTATCACACAGCACGGTGGACACGAATAAATTTATTTTCCTGTTAACCATTTATCAATAAATGTAGAAAAGATTCCAACGACAATTATTACCATAATTCTGCAAAAGAAAATAAGAACCAAAAACGATAAGGTACATGATAGGCTGTGGAATATTGTTGGTTGGGGCTGTGATTATTGTATTAGTTACTCCGTTGACGACTACCACTGTTGTTAAAGCTGGTCTGGAGTTGTTTTGCTTCTATTATTTTTAGAATTAAATTTGGATTTTTGTTTATTATAAATACGTGAGAAGTAACAGTATGGGGTAGTTGTATTACTTATTGAAACTGCTGCGGAACTAACGATCATATGCTTGATCTTTAGCTGATACCGATACGTATTTACATAACTGCTCACCTAGTGTTTGATGCGTCGTCGTTTTTGGTAATTTTGAGCTAATGTTTAAACAGTATCAATGACGGGAACAAAAAAAATTGTGGTAGAAATTAAAAAAATATTTAAAGTTATTGATTTCATGTTTTTTGAAAGAAATCGTCTTTAGTTATGAGAAATTATAAACATCAAATAAATACACGTAATATTTCGTAAATTCATGTATTTCGCAAATGTAAAGAATTAGCGAAATGAAGGTTCATAATAAAAAGAGAATGAATGTTCTTTTTGTTTTATTAGTTCAATAATTCTGAATTATACAATAAAATCTTCTGTTTAACGATAAGAATGTTTAAATTGACATTGTAACGGTGAATTACCATATCACAAAACGATCGTGTTTTTGCTAAAATAACATTCGATTACATGTGTATTTTTTCATACTAAATAAATAGAAAAAGCGGCGGTTAAAGTTACATACCGATACTACATTTTCTTATTTGTTGTAATTCGTGGGCTAAGACGCACTATTGCATCATGACTATGAAGGGTAAAGTCATGGCTAGTACGAATTGGTGTATTAGGATTCTCCAATTCCACGTTGTATTTCCGGAAGAATACTACCACTAGCGTCTTTAAAAGGGCCGTGCCAAAAAGGCGCCCGGGGCAAATATGTAATCCACCCCCAAATGGATAGAACTTTCTTTTCAAATCTTTATCAGACAAGAGATGTCGTTCTGGGATGAATTTATCGGCATCTTTCCAAAGATCAGAACTATGATGCACGGATTGAAAATTTACGCCAAACTGTGTGTCTGGTTTCCAAGAAAAACCTCCAACTTCAGTCCGTTCGTTATTCGTTCGAAACATAATTGGCGCAGTAGAGTGAAGACGCATCGCTAAAAAGGACAAGAATTAAATATGTAATAATGTGAAAGTAAAACACTCAATTGAGACTTCATTACTTTCATTGAGAGCTGCTTCGATATATTCAAGTTGTTTAAAATTTTCGTAAGAGAATTCACTACTTGGATCACCTGGAAATACTTTGTCGATTTCTTCTTGAATCTTTTTCGCGACTTCTTTATGACGGCCAACGTGATGAATGAAAAATCCGAATGTATTTGCTGCCTTTTAAAAGAAATTTATCATTTAAATCCATCAGGTTTTTAAATAATAATAAATGAAGAAAATAAGTGAAATCAACCGTCGAGACAGATGCTAAAATAGTTTCGAAAAGATTTGCTTGAATTTCTTCATCTGTTGCAGGTCTTGAAAATTCATCATCTTTCTTACGAGAAATATCTCGTTCCGTGTTGGCGATAATTAACGCATTCAAAACATCGGCCTTAGTTGGAGTGTCAGCTGGAGTATCATCTATTTTCTTTCTTCGATCCTGAATGATTTCGATGAGTAACCTTTTCATTGTGTCATGAGCTGTATGATATTTCTTAGATTGATTATGATAGATTGTTCTTTTGAGAATATTGGGAACGGTGGTGTAAAATAAGAGCGCTTCGAATGCTAAATTTATTGCAGTTACGAATTTCGTAATCACTTCTGAATCACTTGTAGAAAGCTCAACTTTCTTGTCTGTCGAAAGACTATTAAAGTGTTTCGCCATAAATTTAACATTCTTTCCTGTTGTGGTAATATACAGCATATCGGAAATAAATCGGTTCACCCAGAGTTGAATATCTTGTGGTTTATCTAGTCCTATTTCTTTCCAATATGTCTCCAATTCTCCAAAACCTCGTTGCATCATTCCAGTGAATTCTTTAAGAAAGCTCAGCGAATTCACAGCATCGTTAACTAATCTTCTATTATATCGCCAACTCCATGGAACCCGATTAAACCCTATTCCAGTAGTGTCACCCCATTCCTCCAATCCCGAATCATGCGAGTAACGAATAATAAAGGCAGTATTTAATGATGTCAAGGTAGTTTTGGCAATAAGTTCTGCGTTGTTTAACCAGATTTGCCGCTGTGAGCCGATCCAAATTTCAAACATGTCACCATATTTTTTGTGTAGATCTTGAATCCATTTTGCAAAGTGTCCCGGATTTTGGTAGAGACTACCAACAACGGGTAAAGGAAATGGACCCGGAAGGGGATTTTCACGCGTAAAATATTTATAATAAAATATTAGAATATAAAAAAGAATTGCGATGGCTAGAAAAGCGAGCCAACCGGTAATACCAAAAGATGTCAAAGTTTTAATTAGTGAAGTCATTTTTTCTGAAATCAGAGACAAAAGAAAATCATTAATACATGTATATCGATATCACATGTATATGCATACATATTTTTTGTTTATTTTATGTTTATTAAAGAAATTATCAACCATTGAAGTGACCCGTTTTTTTAAGTCAATGGGATTCTTTACTCATTTGTCGGAATTACACGTGAGTTTGTCAAGGTATGGGAATGTGGTAATGACAAAAATTATTCATTTTTAACGGGTTAATTAACAGATACCCCGTATTTACTATGCAAAGTACCCTCAGGGAATACCGTACCGTGTTAGAAAGAGGGAAAATTATGGGGGCGAACGATCATAATATATACAGTGGCGATCATAATTAATTTTGCTTTTGTTTAATACTGTAATATCGATATATTAAAATTTTAATAGATGTTATTATTTTCTATTTTTAGATAAATAGGACCAAACTATCCTCGCATACAAAAATCAAATGGTCAACATAAAAAGGTAAGTTTATTGTGTATTGTTTACATATCGTATGATGTTGCAGCTTTTTGGACAACAAACTAAAACACAAAAACGCCACACAACTCCAGAAGAGCGCGCACAAATTCTAATAGCAAAGTCAAAAAATATCAGCCCCTCAACAGTCTCGTATTAATAAAAGATGGCGCGAACAAGATTCTCTTGAAGATGCGGTAAAGCCTGGTCGACCATCTGCTATAAATGAACCAATAAAAAAAAATTATCAACCTTATTACTTCCCGGAGGTGTTCGTCGGCAGTAGAAGTCCAAAAATGCATCCAAGAAAAAGAAAATATGAATATATCACCACCTACTATTCGTCGTATATTGCGGGATAATGGTTTGGTATCAGGAATAAAAAGAAAAAAACCCTACCTAAGTAAAGTACATCAAAAAAAGCGGTTAGAATTTGCACAAAATCATGAAAATGGACCATCGAAGATCGGTCAAAGGTTATATGGTCCAAGTTTAAAATTTTCGGTTCAGATGGGAGCAATACTACTGGAAACGTCCAGGGGAGCCATTAAACCAGTTTCATATTAAGCCTACGGTAAAGTTTGGCGGTGGGTCCGTGATGATTTGGGGTTGTTTTACATCCAGGGGTGTTAGTGGCTTTTGTAAGATCGACGACGGTATCATGACTGCGAATTATATCAACAAATACTTTGTGAAGAACTTATGAATACCATTAGAGATTATGGGTTTACTGTTAGAAATATCATTTTCCAACAAGACGGGGGATCCTAAACATACGGCAATTTCAACGAAACGGTAGTTTAGTAACAATCGAGTTCGAGTTTTGGATTGGCCATCACAATCTCCCGATCTAAACCCCATCGAACATTTATGGAATGAGGTTGATCGTCGTCTCCGGTGTCTTCCTGGGCAAATTTTGGGTGGGGAAGATTTGTAGAACAAGATACAGCAGGTTTGGCAGGAAATTGATGTACCAACCTGATCCACTCGATCCAGAAAGAATTCGTGATGTAATAAAGGCACGAGGTGGCTATACGAGATGGTAGGATAGTCGAATTCTACCTAATATATACAGTGGCTGCCAAATGTTTTGCATCATCCAAACGACAAATTTAAAAGTTTGCGCACATACATTGAAGATCCATAAATTTAAATATAATAATCAGCGAATCTTAAAAAACATACGGGATAATCTTATAGGTCGTAATAACAAAAAAAAAGATTTTAGGTAATGCGTTTCTTTTGATTGATTTAAAACATAAAAATTAAAATACTATTGCCAACTAACTAACAAATAAAATTTAAACAAACCATTCTTTACCACCCAGTATACCCTTCTTTATTATCAATTGCATTATCTATTCGCTCGGGCATACTTTCAATTAGCCGAGTTATAAATTCATTATCCATTGTAATCCAAATTTGTTGAATAGCGTC